GTTTGTTTCTATGATATTGTGGATTATTTGTGCTTCTGAAAGGCTTTTCGTTGAATGCATCAATGGATTTACACAGTGTCTCTTTGTGGCTCCCAACATATCAGCAAGGAGAGTTGCTGTTTTATTAGACATCAGATCCGATTGTTACATTGTATGATAATGTCAGTTGATTCTCCTTTTACCAAATTGACGCAAGACACATTCCAAGTACCATTTGTTGCTGATTACTGTCAGCTTTTTACGTACGAGTGTGCTTGTAACGATTAATTTTTTGTAATTTAAGTATTTTGATGAGGAAATTATAGTCTCCTGTTGTGATTAGGATGTATAAAAAATCTCTGTCGTCTCGAATATACTGAAGAACTAAAAATACAGAGACGAGGAATGCTGCCGCTTCGCCAGAGTAGCTGCATTATTCATTTATAAATGTTTCTCTAACCAATATTATTAATTCTTTTATTTCTTTTGAAATACTCATTGTTTATTTGCTCATTTCAAAACTAAATGTTAAGCAAATTACATCTGCTACAAGCATATCAAGGTAACAAATTTATTTTTAATTCTTAGTCTGCTAAACAGGATTTATTTTCATGTATGAAAGAAGGACAGATACTAAATGATGTTTCGATTTAAACGACTGTTAGGTAATAATTTATGGCTACTTGTATACACTCTATAAAAAGCTTCACAATACACGTTGTCATTCTATTTATAATAAAAAGAGGACTGTTAAAAAGTAAAATTTCAGAAATAGTTGTTAAAAGTTCATCTTGAAATTGCAAATATGAGACGTGACCGTTATTTTGTTGTCGTCTCTCACGCCTTCGGGTATATAAAGATCTGTTTTACGCGTGATGAATTAATTTCGTCGATCAACACAATAGTAGCAACATCGATTCTTCTACTAGAATCTCTACTGAATACAATAAGTGCAATCATTTTCGAAACTCATAGGGTACTTAGGTTCCAGAATTTTTATTTAATTCGTTGTGATCAATAGTAAAGATGTTTGTCTCGATGCACTATGAGAATAGTACTACTAGATTGGTAGAAGTGTCTTAAGCGATTGCGATGGCCAACGGCCGCTTTAGTACTATATGATGACTTCTCTTTGGTTCAATTTTTTTCAGTGAATCAAGTTCCTTGTTAAAAGACATTTATTCGTATCTTCCTGTGGATTCAGATAGTTTTGCGTAAGGTCACTGCGACTGTCTGAAGTTGCTGTCCCATCGGTCGAAGCGGAATCAATGAATGACTTGATTGTCTACGTTTGTGTTGCAGTGCATGAAACAATTTGTAAAAAAACAGCGGTTTAAGGTCAAATTAAGTTTTCTTACTTAGGTTTTCTTTTTGGACTTGTGTGTTTATTTTGCTTTCCGTTGAACTATTATTCTTTTCATTTTTATATAATGTGGTTTGGTGAAAAAATTCTTTACTCTTTCTTCGATCTATGTGCCCAAGGAAAGAAGAATGACAAACTCCATTTCAATCCAAGAATATGGCAGTTCCTTTACTGAGAATTTTTCTTCGATTTCCACGTTTCTCAGTACTCTTATATGATGAACCTCTGGCAGATAGACTTGCTTGATATATTTTCATCTCCTGGTGAGGTTGATGATTTAACATCGGATTTTGAACGCATGTCTTTTTGTTGTTTTCACTTACCGAATTTAATTCTATTGTCACAGTTGTCAGGGATGACGTCTGCTTTTCGTTATATAACTGTGATGTATAACTACACAGATACAAAATGTTTTGCTATAGTATTTACATCTCTCTTAGTTTATTTACATATATTCAATGACTTGTGAAGAAAATTTGAACATATTTTGTAAATTTTAAATTGACTTTTTTTCATTTCATATAGTACTATTCTAGGATATATACAGATCAGTAACTTTATCACATTAGTATAAAAAGTGGTAAACGATATGACAGATTTAATTCATAAATTTCATCGGCTTATTCACGAATAATACCATGGTACAAATGAGATAAGTTCATTAAGGGGAATGATTTATCTTGACGAGAAACGCTTGTGGTAAAAATTTCACCATGATATGCCTGACTAGATTGAAGATTCGGCTTGTTTTCCTAACTCCCAGGAGAATCGAAATAACCTCTCGTTAGAAAAGGTGCAGAGCTCAGGCTGGTTTCCAATTGTAGCTAGCCTCTGTACGCAACTTTTCATCGGACGGAATTTTGAAACTGCCTTCCATTTATTTTTTATGAGCAATTTTGTGGATATGCTCGCAAAATAAGCATAAAAAAATGCTATTCTACGACAGCAAACCCTATTTTTCTCAGCCCTGGGAACCAATATCAAAAATCCGTCGGATAAAAAGTTAGCTCTGCTTAAGATCTTTAAAACAAAAAAGAACATCGGTTATATGCCGAGTCAAGTGGAAGTTATTTCAATTTTCCTGTCTAGAAACCGTGTTTTGAGAAAAATGCTAAAGAAGTTTCAGAAATGGATATTTTCATTTAAATCCAGAACAAATCATATTACAATGGTATATTCCAGTGAACCGTTTTAAGGGACGTAATAGATGAGGGGTAGCTAACGCCATCTATCATGCTGATTATTATAAAAAATATTTTATTCAATGAAAATGCAAGTGGGAACGCAATTTTTCTGCAACTGAAAATCTTTAAAAACCACGGAAATTTGTCGCAAAACATGGTAGTAGATTTAAAGTTTCATGTGAAAAGTGTTTGAAAATCTGATCATTTTCCACAAAACTATACATATTCTGAGGAGAAGGAAACTTCGCTGCATCTTCCTGTACTAGAAAGTTAACTTCGATATTTTTCGGAGAAGCTCGATTTTCTAAAAGGGGGGAGGGGGGCTTTTAAATGAGATTGAATATGAACCACCATGGCAACATATCGGTGGAGGTGATGTTAACTTAATACTTCTATCTTCCTCTGTAGGGCAACCAGAACGTATTCAAGTTAATGAACGAACCATAGATGATCAATGTTTTTAACGAGAAGTAAAGAATGCTGGTGGTATGTTACTGGATATACTCAATAGTAATGCAATTTATTGGTGTAAAAAAAGTGAAATGGATCACAAAGTATTTCAACATATGACACGAACTGGTACTTATTTATTAATTCAAGAATTGAATGCAACAGATTTGAATAGTGTTCAAAGACATTTAAGCAAAATAGTCGAAGAACTTACTTTATTACTAAATGATTTACATGAACGTCAGTATCTGACTGATATACAAGTTCAACAAATGACTGTTCAGTGATCAATGGTTCAAATCGATTATGTATACTTTTTACCGGATGCACATCAAGTAAGTATTCTTTTTTGTTTTCATTGTATTCTTTTGAGAAAATGTGTTTCTTTCTGTATATAAAGTACTATACCATTTCAACCTGTCATGGTGTGTTGCTTAGGACTCACTCTTGGTATATCTTGTTACATCAACCGTCTTCTTCAACCTATCTATGATCAAGCGACTCGTTCAACAACATTTTTCAAAGCTAGTAATGCTGTACATGCACTAGAAAACTATACCAAAGAAGCTCGTTTACAATCAAATACATTATTTGCTACTGTACACGTCAATCATTTATGTACAATTATGCCTCATGAGCAATTGACGGAACCATTACAGCATTTTCTCTATGATTATGTACCAGATAGACAAGTACAAGGATTAACTGTTGATGCTATTATTGAGTTAATTCGTTTTGTTTTACAAAATCAATACTTTATTTTCGATAACAAAATTTATCGACAAATTAAAGGTTGTGGTTTTGGTCAACCGTTAAATCATCTATTAGCAAATATTTATATGTTCTATTGGCAACAAATTTTAGTTAAAACATTAGTTAATTAAAATCAAATATTTGGCCGATATCTTAATGAAATGTTTTTTTACTTGAAATAAATCAAAATGAGAACTTCAATCACTTCTTAAGAGAATGGTTCGTCAAAAAAATCCTCATTTATCTATAGCACTTTGAATTGGAAAAAATGTCGCCTATCTCGATGTTCAAATAAGTCATATCAATAGCCAACTTCGAACTATAATTAATCACGATAATGATATTGAACCACGTGGATTATCTTTTATATCGAATCATCCACCTGTAATGTATTCAACATTAATTCAAGCATGTCTTATGCATGCAGCAGTAATTCGCTCCAAAGTATCTGATTTTCACAATGAACGCTTTGATGTTCAAATAGTATTTTTAAATAACGGCTATTCAATCACTTTTATAACAGAACATGTTGAGCAATTGTTCCAAGATTTTCATATTTCCAATTGGAAATCAAATTTAAATCAAAATACCTATGATAAAATGCGTGAAGAAATTATCGAGTATGATCAACAACATCAAGAAATGAAAATAAAACAACGATGAAAACAACAAAGAGAACAACTATGCTACGTTACATCTGATTTAAATGAAGAAGAGCTATACAATTTTCAACAAAATATTAAAACTTTATGGAAAGACTATTTGAAAAATCAACCACAACTCAATAATATAAACATTGAAGTCATTCATCGACCAAAATATCGACGTAATACAAAATGGCTGTCTATAATTATGAAATTCAGAAATTTTTTTGTTTCTTTTGTTATACGTTACGTAGATGGTTTTTTTTGTAAACTTTATTAAAACTAGATATCCCATAATTGTTGACTCCTACTTTTTCGAGATTTAATGTTTTCTCTTTGCATTTTATATATTTGTGTTCTGTATAAATGAATTATATTGAAACAAACAAAACAATGACAACAACGAAATCAATTTTAAAAACACCAAGTGAAGATGCTCAAGGTCACTAGCATGAATTACTTTCACCAACACAAGTGTTGACTGGACAACAGCAAATACAGGAACCAGCACAACCACAGAAAGGCGAAGAGGTAAAACGCAAGGGAAAAAGCCGCGGTGATGGAAAAGCACAACGTCGGCGTGGATTACTTCGTCGAAAAGGTTTAGATCCAGATTGACTCACTGATTTAATTCAGCCAAACGTGAGCCTTCAGAAAAACTAGAAACAAATGAAAGAAGATGCTAATGATAATATACAGGTCAATGTACCAGTTGATCAAGTAATATCTACCTTTCTTCTTAGTAAAAGAATCAATCAAACGTAAAAGAAATGAAATATCATCAAAACAATTATCAAACACAATTGATAAGTCTTTAAGTCAATTATCTATTTCTCAACCATCACGAAAAAAAACAAAAGATGGTCAATAATGAAATTGAACAAGTAACTACAAATGGAACATCAGACAAGTAACCTTCAAAATCTAAAAAAGAAATTAATCATAATAATGACTATTCTTATATATCTGATTATTTGCAAGTAACCAATCGTATATTTAAACAAATGTTAATCAGTTCATTATAAGGTGCTGATAAAATTGTTAACTGATTAAATAGAAGTGAAAAAATTAACTATATTCGTCAATATGCTTATTTAATACATCGTCTATTCTATGCACAATTACGAGAAAGTCAATGGAAGTATTATTATGATATTAGTATGCAAGAAAATATTTGGTCCGGCCGCGTATCAAAAAAATGGGCTGCTATGTCTAGTATGCATCAAACTTATGGTCGCTCAAAAACATTAATCGTACAACATCTAACAACTCTTCAACGACAACTTCAAGAAGATCAGAAGCATTACAAGAGTTTGGCAATCCACCATTACCTCAATGTCTATCTGAAATGAATCCTCCATTAAATTTTACAACAATGTCAGCAATGGTTACAGCTGTTGTCGGAAAAGGTTAACATAAATTAAAGCAACCATTTGAATATAATAAAAAAATGTTAAAATTAGACTCAACAGATCATTGTTTCGTACAATATGTTTATGATTTGAAACCTAATAAACAACAAATTCGTTCTATTCGTAATATATGGAAAGCAATTTATAATAAAAAAGCTTGTTAGCGCAACTTCTTTGAAGCTGAAATGTGGAACTTTCGTATATCCTTCAAACCTATTATGCTAATGCATTATTTGTAAACTAAAAAATAGTTCTTTTCAAATAATTCTGAAAGCATTGAAATATTGTATAGAATCTGAAGTCTCTTGTGCACGGTTGCTAGGTCTGTAATCGGGGTATGTCTGTAATGTTCTCTTCCGTTGTTATGTGTCTGTAATGGGATGGGGGAGGGGGAGCCGGAAAACCTTGACCTTAACACTTACATCCACTATTTTCTTCGAAAATATACGTGAGTTCCACAAAACAAATGGAAGAACAAATTGAGATATTAAAATATCGCATCCATTCGAATTGTTTACCACCGACATTCAATCTTCTTGATTATTCACTTAATAAAATTGATAAAATACTTAGCCGATCGAAAAAATCTTCTACTAACGATGATGATAACAAGCAAAAAACAATATTATATGCTTGTCGTTTAAAAAAAATTGGCCGATTTAAATATGGTATGCTTGAATTAAGTATAGCAGCTGGTAAAGAAAAAGTACGCTATTGAAATAAAACAGCGAAAAATGGAAAAAAAGAAATTGGTAGCTATTACCGATAATTAAAGATAAACAATTCAGATTCAGATATATTCAAACAAGTAGTGGTAGCTATTGAAGTACGTGAAAAACATATGATCGAACGATCTGATTATATTACACAACAAAAATTGAAATCTTTTTTCGACGAAGCTCCGGTGTCAAAGGACGATACAACGAACAACGATGGCATCGGAACAAATGAAAATTAAATATTCGAAACCATACGGATATGTTTCTTGGTTTATATTTTGCCAATACTATTATAACATTATCGAATGAACAATTGCTTATTCCCATGTCAACACTAAACGCAGAAATTGTGCGTTTAAACGCGTTTTTCTTATGAAACGCGTCTGGACTCAGTCAAAGGACAATAAAAACCACGTCTGCACGCGATTTTGCACAGACCGCATCTAAACACGACTGGACTAAGACTTCAAGCGCATCTTAACGTGTTTTGGTTTGGAATCACGTCTCTAGTGAAACATTTCTTGCGTCTAGAAGCATTCCATTACTTCGATCAATATACAAACGAAATGCGATTGTGAAACTCGTTTATAGGAAAAAATATATAAAAGATTCGTTTTCTATTCACTAGAAAATATATATCACATTTTTTTTATAAAATTAATTTAGTTTGAAGTATATAGCGTTCTCAAAAAGTTTAGACTTCTTTTTCTCAAGAAAGACAGAATGTATATATGTTTTAATCCTAAAACATTGGTACTCTAAAATTGAAAATAATGAAATTTTAGAAATAATATAATCAAATTTTTTTTGCAAAACGAATAGTTTCCATAATTAGATATTTTTAAAATTATGTAGTTGGATTTATCTAATGCAAACTCTTTTTCTTGGAGAAATAAGTATATTTATATATACAGCAATAATTAATAAATATACACAGCACCTCATTGACACATGTATCTGTGAATAAGTTTATAATAGACGATGCATATATAGATTCTGTTTCGTTCTACAACTAATGTGATCACATGTGGTTCAATGGTGTATGTACACTTGCTTTCTACTCGCTAGTTTACTTGTTCTAATCTCATTTCTATCATTTTAGAAACATTAAAATTTAAACTTTCCGTTGGCCTGTAGTTAGGTAAAGACGATCGCTAGGCAATATTGATAGCGAATCAGATCAAACCTGAGACGGATTGTAATACATTTTATAAATTTGAAATAGAGGCATTTCTTTCATCGACAACGTATGGAAAAAATTATTGAACGAGCATACAATCGCCTCTATAATGAAAATGTTAAAAATCTTACCGATTACATGTTTTCAACACGTGATACACTTGCTATTGAATATTTTGCTGTAATAAAAAATTTACTTCAACAGCTATATACGAAACCAATACTAAAAAAACTTGAAAGACATGCTCGATATATGTACAAGATGATAAAATCAATGCGATGACAATTATGCAAAGCTAATATTGCTGTCTGACAAACTGATAAAAGCAAATTATTTTTCTTTATGGATCCACATGAATCTGAAGAAAAAATTAAAAGTTATATGACAAAAACAAACGCATATCAAGAAATCACCAATGGCATTTATCCATTAGCAGATGATTTACATTCTGTGTTAACTTTGCTTGATGATCTGTTAAAGCGTAAAAAATAACGAAAGATCAATATAGACAAATATATCCAAATCTAAATACATTAGAATTTGCTCATATTTATTTCAATCTTAAAGTACATAAGGTAAAACCGTTCGTTTGTTATCTAGATATTTTTTCTATGATACGTTTCTTATGGCCAGAACTATCAGTTTGACCTATTCTTGCTTCAATTAATGCACCTGCTAGACAAATATCCAGTTTTCTTGATCAACTTCTTACTCCAATTTATAATCATGTGACAAAAGATATTACATTCATCAATGGTATAGATCTCACCTGAACAACATTATCTATAACTTTTCATGTTGCTGATTTATACACAATGATACTACATGATGGCACTATTACTGCTTTAACGCGATTCTGTAAAAACTATTCAATAAATGGAAAAATTGGAAATCTCAAAATATAAACTATGATTCAATTAGCATGTGTTGTTTTAGATACCAATTCATTTGCTTATAAAGATAAGTATTATCGACAAATTAAAGCGTATGATGCCTTATTTGAATTTCCGGTAGCTTGTATCATTTTTTGTTGATGGATATAGAGGAGGTATAGGAGATATTGGAGACATTGATTAATTGGTACAGATGATCATTCGATAGTATTTGAATTTAAACATCTATTCATTAAATATATTGGTGTCACTTGCCAACCCTTGCTCGAAAAACTCAATTCCTATACCTCCTATATTTTGATAAACAGGAAACTATAGGAATGTCCGGAAATTCAAATAAGGCATCTAATCAATTAAAGGTGGTGCCATGGGTTCACCATTTACTATGGTTTTAGAAAATATTTATATGTTAGAATGGGAGCAAAAATTAATTCAACCCCAAAATAGACATCATGAAATTTATGGACGGTTAATTTTGCATTTATTAGTTACTTTTTTTATTACTCTAATAATCATAAATATTTATAGATATATTGACGACATATTTATGACAACTAATTTATCCAAAGAAGATATTCTGAAAGAACTTGATGAAACCATTAAAACAGATTCAAATGTTACAATTAGTACTACTATCAGTCAATCATTAGAATATCTTGATTTTACTATTGAAAATATTAATGGACATTTAAAAATATCTATTTATCATAAATCAGCTTCAGAACCCTATATTCTACCTTATGAATCTGATCAGACAAGACACGTTCATGTGAATCTAATTTATATTGCATTAGTGCGAGCTGCACGTAACTGTTCCAATGTGGAAGATTTTGATATGGACCGATTAAGTACAGAAATGATATTACTAGTTAACGGTTATCCACCAAAATTTATACAACATCATATAAAAAAATTCTTTGCTAAATATGATTCTATGTGTGTATGGACTGAATTAAACAGTGAAGTCAATCAACAACTATATAATATGTTACTTTACAGACCAACAAAAAGAGAAAACAAAACATAAATCTCGAGTCTTTGTCAATTAATTCGAAAAACGAAAAACTATGAACATAAAGATCAAATTTATCTTCATTACACGTTCGAAAATGGACCATTATTAAATTTCAAAAAAGAATATCATCAAATATGGCAAAAGTTCTGTTTAACCAGGATCACATTTCAAAAATACACGACCAATTCTTGGTACAATATTAAATCGCACTTTACAAAGTCTTTTGATACCCAGATAGCCTTCACAAGATACGTTGACCAGGATGCAACCAACCACAGAAGCAGCTCGTACAACAATGAAAGAACGGTTTAATCATTAACATTTGTTTCATTCAGGCATCTCAATTGTGAAGAGTGTTTCCTTCTTGTTTGTTCGCTTCTTTCTCAGTTTTGTTCTCAATAGAGGATATTCTGTTATTATCATTAGATCTTGTTACTAGATAAACATTGTTTTTTTCTTCCTATTTATTTTTCTCTTAAATACGTGCAACATGTCGAATACGACCATTTATTACATTTTTCATTATTTAAGCTCAAATATTTGACCATTGAACATGTGAATCGGTACCATCTTCTAGTTCATGTTTCGTTAATTTTCCTTTTCCTTTCTTTCATTTGATATATGTTCACTTTGAAACCAGACGTATTTCATACTTTCATATATTCTAGATACATACTAATCAACACAATATCTACAAACAATAATCGCAAACACGTAATAGCAATATATAAGGAATCCCTGTAAGCAAATCATAGTTATGACAAAACTGATGAGTGGCCCTTAAGCAAGACCGAAACGCGTCGTAAGGATGCTTGGTAATCTAAAAATTCAATTTTACACACACCCACAATGAACCAGATTATACAAAAGAATACCAATGCCCCATGCAAGCAATTTCCCCCTTATTCGCCAAGCCGTCCAGGAATACTTTAACAGTCAAATATAATTTCCTCTATGTCTCAAAAAAAACTATAAAAGCTAATTGTAGATTATTTCTCGTTTCTACGATCGTAATATCACTCAAAAAGAAACTCTTGTCTAATCATATGATGAGAGCATTAAGCAAGAGCGAAACACATCATCATGTGCTTGGCATATCCATGTCATACATCTGACGAAATTCTTTGTCAAATTTAGACGTATTGCCATAGCTTCACTTGATATTTCTTATCTTCATGTAAAATATTTTAATGCTCAACATATACTCACACACAAAAATAGTTAGAAGAAATATTAGTAGCGCTAAGTAGAAGTTAGGAATAATGAATCAATGAAAAAAAAGCTTAAGGCAGCAGTGGCAATATTAACAGGTCTGTAAAAAAATGTTTAAATTGTCAGCACCTTCATTGGCGACGACGAAATCCAATTTTCCATCGTTGTCTAAATCATCAACAGAAACCGAGAACGGAAGAGATCCATAACCGGTCGAAAAAAGCTTGACACTTGTGAAGGAGCCATTCCCATAACCAAGCAACACACCTATGTTGTTTGTGCCATAATTAGCGACAATAATGTCTAGCAAGGTGTCGTTGTTGAAATCTTCAACAGCAACCGCGTTTGGTTGCGAGTTTAAACCAGTCGAAAAAGTTTTCTGGCTTGAAAAGAAACCATTACCCCATCCAAGAAAGATACCAACATTGTCACTGCCACGATTCACGACAACAATATCAAGTATCGTATCGTTGTTGAAGTCACCAACAGCTATTGACCATGGAGAAGAATCAGTTGCATATGCTACTTGATTTCCGAAGGAACCATTGTCATATCTTAGAAAAATACCGACGTTGTTAATGCCTGAATTCGCCACTGCTAGATCCATTTCATTGTCATTGTTAAAATCTCCAATGGCGAATGACTTAGGGCGAGATCCATTGCCAGTTATGAGTCTCATTTGGTTTAGAAAACCTTCATTGGGATATCCGAGATATACACTAACACTGTACCTATTCAGATTAGCGACGACGATATCCAGTCGGGTGTCATTATTAAAATCGCCAACAGCTACAGATGAAGGACTAGTGCCGGTTGAATAGATCATTTGATTTGTAAAAACACCAGTACCATATCCAAGAAGGACACTCATAGTGTTGTCATCCCAATTAGTGACGACGATATCCAATAGGGTGTCGTTGTTAAAATCACTAACAGCTATAGAGTATGGGGAAGAGCCAGTTGAATATATCGTTTGATTCATGAAAGAACCATTGCCATATCCGAGAAGGATACTTACAGTATTGTCAAATAAATTAGCAACGACGATATCCAGTTGGGTGTCGTTATTAAAATCACCAACAGCTACAGAAACTGAGCCAGAACCAGTTGAATATGTCGTTTGATTTGCAAAAGAGCCATTGCCATATCCGAGAAGGATGCTTACAGTGTTGTCACCAAAATTAGCAACGACGATATCCAATCGAGTATCGTTATTAAAATCACCAATAGTTACAGGCCATGGTTCATACCCTGTTGAATATTTTGTTTGATTTGCAAAAGAGCCATTGCCATATCCGAGAAGGACACTTACAGTGTTATCATCATTAGCGACGACGATATCCAGTCGAGCGTCGTTGTTAAGGTCACCAATAGCTACAGATAATTGACCAGAGCCAGTTGAATATTTCGTTTGATTTGTAAAAGAGCCATTACCATATCCGAAAAATACACTTATACTATTGTCATGTCTATTAGCGACAACGATATCCAGATTGGTGTTGTTGTTAAAATCGCCAACAGCTACAGACCATGGCTGAGAGCCAGTTGAGTATGTCGTTTGATTAGTGAAAGAACCATTTCCATATCCGAGAAGGATACTTACAGTGTTGTGGTATTGATTAGCGATGACGATATCCAGTTGGGTATCATTATTAAAATCACCAAGAGCTACAAATCGGGGCCAGCCGCCAGTTGAATACTCAATGTGATTACTGAAAGATCCGATGTCGTATGTAACCAGCACATCTACATAATCGATGTCATCATATGCAACGAAAATTTCTGAACGCCCATCTTTGTTAAAACTATTGGCACCAATAATCAATGGAGCGAAATCGAAAACTACACCGTGACGTCCTTGATTTTCAAATGTTCCATTTCCACTTCCCAGAAACGTAACAAGATTTTTAGTACCATAATTGGCCACGGCTATATCTGCTTGACCGTCTCTATTGAAATCATGGACAGTGATGGAGTAAGGATGAGAATTTGAGCCTGTTGAGAGCACCATTTGATTTCCAAAAGTGCCATTTCCATGTCCAAGAAGGACACCTATGTTATTCGTACCATAATTGACAACGGCGATATCCAATAGGCTATCGTTATTGAAATCAAAAAGGGCACAGTTTCGCAAACGAGAACCATCGGTAGGCGCAAATGTGATTTTATTTTTCAGAGCTCCTCTGTCATATCGAAGGAGTACACCTACAGTGTTGTCATTAAAATTAGCGACGACAAGATCCGATCGAGTGTCGTTATTAAAGTCACCAACAGCTACAGCGCGTGGGCCAAAGCCAGTTGAATATGTCGTTTGATTTGCAAAAGAGCCATTGCCATATCCGAGAAGAACACTTACAGTGTTGCCACCAAAATTAGCAACGACGATATCCAATTGGGTGTCGTTGTTAAAATCACCAACAGCTACAGACAATGGTCTAGAGCCAGTTGAATATGTCGTTTGATTTGCAAAAGAGCCATTTCCATATCCAAGAAGGACACTTACAGTGTTGTCATCCCGATTAACAACGACGATGTCCAGTTGGTTGTCATTATTAAAATCACCAACAGCTAGAGCTATTGGGCTAGAGCCAGTTGAATATTTCGTTTGATTCGCGAAAGAGCCATTACCATATCCGATAAGTACACTTATAGTGTTGTCATCAAAATTAGCAACGACGATATCCAGATGGGTATCGTTGTTAAAATCACCAACAGCTACAGAAACTGGCAGAGAGCCAGTTGAAAATGTCTTTTGATTTGCAAAAGAGCCATCACCATATCCGAGAAGTACACTGACAGTATTGTCATCAAAATTAGCAACGACGATATCCAGATGGGTGTCATTGTTAAAATTACCAACAGCTACCGATATAGGCATATATCCAGTTGAATATGTCGTCTGATTTTCAAAGAAGCCATCGCCATATCCCAGAAGGATGCTTACAGTATTGCCATAATAATTAGCGACGACGATATCCAGATGGTTGTCGTTGTTAAAATCACCCACAGCTACAGAGTATGGGTAAGAACCAGTTGAGTATGTCATCTGATCAGCAAAAGAACCATTTCCATATCCCAAAAGTACACCTACAGTGGTGCTATCCCTATTAGCAACTACAATATCTAATCGGGCGTCATGGTTGAAATCACCAACAGCTACACAGTATGGTCCACTGCCAGTTGCATATGTCGTTTGAATTGGAAAAAACTCATCATAGCCAAGCATAATACCTAAGGTGCCCGTATCATTGTTGATGAAGGTAATGTCTAAACGATTATCTTTGTTTAAATCACCTATGGCAATGGAGATTGATGAAGAAGATCCAGTTGAATACATTTTTGCGCTTGCAAAAGTACCGTTGCCATATCCGACAAGTAGAGCTATATTGTCAGTGCCATTATTGGTGATGACTAAATCCATTCGATTGTCGTTGTTGAAGTCACCAATGTCAATAGTATATGGAGAAGCAGTGCCGAAGGAATATGTCGTTTGGCTCATAAAAGTTCCGTTACCGTGACCCAGAAGTATACCTACACTGTTATTTCCATAGTTGGTGACGGCAATATCTAGCATGTTGTCATCGTTTAGATGACCAACGATAATCGAGTAAGGATGGGAATTAAGACCAGTTGAGAACGTGATTTGCTTTGCGAAAGTGCCGTTACTAGTACCAAGCATGATACCGACATTATTGGTACCATAATTGGCGATTGCAAGATCCATCTGTTTGTCGTTGTTGAAATCGCCACTAACAACCGCTAACGGGAAAGCATCATAGCCTGTCAAGAATGTGCTTGACCCTGAAAAACTTGCATTCCCATATCCATAAAATACAGTCACACTGTGTGTGCCGTAGTTAGCAGTGACAATATCTAATATTGCATCATTATTAATATCTGCTATATGGATCCAAACGGGCCGAGATGATGCAGTAGATAGAATTGTTTTGTTCGCAAAAGATCCATTTTGAAATCCAAAAAGTACACCGATGCTATTTGTTCCGAAATTTGCGATAGCGACATCTAGTCGATGATCGTTGTCAAAATCACCCACAGCAATCATGTACGGAGCAGAATCGTAACCAGTTGAAAACATGATCGGGCTTGTCACAGTGCCATTGCCATGTCCAAAATATATAGCTATATTGTCAGCAGCATAATTGGCAACAACAATATCTAGCGAGGTATCGTTGTTGAAGTCTCCCATGGCAACAGCTCGTGGACCATACTTATAGTTAATTGGATTTTGAGCTGTTGCTTTAAAATTAAGTTGACATTTTGGAACTAAGTAACGCAAGAACAAAGAAACAAAGATTGATCAGTTACTATGATTGAACTATGTCTAATGGTCCGTATCAGATTTCGATAATTCTGATGATTTTCTATTGAGAATAGTCAGATCATTACAAACAAATCTGAATGAGAATCAGCACTTTTCAATTGAACATCGTTGAGTCTCGCGAAACTCATAGTGACTGAGGAAGAACAGAGACAGTAGCTAACATGATGAGAAAACGAATTATGAACTGCCCCTAACAAAGAGTTCAAAACCACATTCGTTTCTCTCTTATTGATTCTTGAAGGACATGCCATTAACTACAAGTAGAATATAACGATGATATTTTCGGACCGTTTCGAAATCAAATGAATGTCAGTATGTTCGTGTTGCAAAACTCTTGTCATCGCGTCATGAATGTCACGCATTATTAATTAACAACAACAATTAGAATATAATAAGTTTTTTTACAAGTATTCGAGATTACGCAATGAATAGAACACTGATAATTTATTAACAGTTATCACCTGATGAGTTGAGTGATGATTGATTGCTAATGTTGAACATCGTGATCATATTCCATTGTTACAATATGATCAGTATAGCTATATGATGGTTTCTGGCAATTGATAAGAGCTTTTTATTTGGTTAGAGGGCTGAGACTATGAATTATTGTTACTGACAAGTTATCTTATTGGATAATGGAAAATGTGTCAGTTTAATTTTTCACTCCAAAGAAACTTATTTTACGAAAACAACTCTGTGTTTCAAGCTTGATCAAATGACTTTGGAGTTGAGAAATGTGAATCCATTCATAGTTTCTCAAAGCTTGTAGTATCGTTATTTTCGAGATATAGTCCTTCCAGAGAAAAAAGCTTAAGATTATACATTTCGAAAAGCTACGAACAAAGGAAGAGGACACATAAAAAGACAGATCATCTACTTGAAAACGATTCAATGGCTTCTGAGGCAGATTACAATCCTATATTTTTACTGCAGTCAGATTGCTGTACACTAGCAATAACTTTGTGAAAACATTTGTTCGTCTGCCTATAAATAATCTCATTTGAAAGACCAGTAAATGATCTAAAAATTCTCAGACGAAAAGCTAAAGTTATGTCGAGATAATAGTGTTTCTATCGATATTTCGCGTATATCAGGAAGGTTCTGACTTCTTAATTGCTTTGGAGACAGCTTTACGATGGACTGTCCTCTTCAAAGTTTGATGCAGTTTTTGACAGACTAGACGGTGGCACAATTTTCTGGTAGATATCATAATTATACAGATGAGAAACCTCCAATATTCATCTTAGATCAGTTCCAGAAAACCACATAATCGGCTTCTGTTCTATTAATATGGATGCCATAGGTTCTTCTGAAATGGTAGCACATATGGTTGTAGTTTTAGGCACGACCAAACCTCGAAAAGCTATAGCTAATAAAATAACTAGAAGAAAACTACACCAACGATTAGTTCGTCAAAAACTGCATCAAACCCTATAGAAACACTATTAGTTCATCGTAAATTCAGCTTATAGTTATTGTATTGTTGGATATAGCCGTTTGGGTGGAGTGACAATATGGTATATTAATCTGGATTAGGAACCATTGATTAGCTTTCTAAACAGATTAAATGCGGTGTCCAATGATTCGCTGTCTCATTCTGCATCGAAACAACGTATGAGACAGATTAGATGGCTACACTTTGCATTTTAACTTTTACTCACTTAATACGTTGTGTTGTACTTTTTTCTTTCAAAATGCACAGAATTTCGAGAGATCTAATTTCGACCATGCGAAAACGGGGTTTTCTTTGTACAAGATGAATTCGTTTTTTCTTATTTCATCTTTTTATCACCTGATAGTTTTTAGTTGAAAAAAAACAAAATATACTACTAGATACACCGTGAAAAGCTCCAAAACTTACACAGTAAAGCTTATTGTATTTGTTTTCGAAAGCAACAAAATTTTATGCGACAATTTTTCTAACGGTCGAAATTCAGTCGCTTAAAGTCTTGTCCATTTTCAAAGCAAATATAACCTGGTATTAAATAATTGAAAATTGAAATGCAAAGTGTAGCCATTTAATCTGCCTCAGCTGTTATAGACTTGTTTTGAAAATTCTGATGTGGCCAAATTCGTTTTCTTATGTGTTCTTTCTCTGGATTTCATGCTTTCGAACATTTTGGATCAAAGTTCATAAAATAGGCTTTGTTTGAGACAAAAATCAAACTGACCAATACGCCCTCACTGGCAAGTAGCACTTCCCACATACTGGCAACCGTAGTAATGCGAATGTCATACTCGTAAATACCTGTTGTTTGAGCTCAAAGCTTTCTCGTCAGTAGAACTCATAGGATAGAAAAAAATCCAAAAGAATTCGTACTATTAGCTCTATCTCAATAAAGGAAGATTTTCACGAGCTAACTTCTTACAAACTCATCTTATACCTCGCTGCTTATCGTATAAAAAAAGACGATCTTTACCTAACGCTTTTCTTAATAAGGAAATTACAATGATACGAAGAATGAGAATAAAATACAAAGTCAAGAAAAGAATTGATCAGTCTAATGATGATTATAATTTGAAAAAAGAGTGAATCATGTTCTTGTTGCACCAAGAACAATGAATCATTGACCCATCAATGCAACTCTTTTCATGGCATCTGTCTGTTTGAAATTTAAAGCAATATCTTTAACATTCTAAAATGGATCAGGATCAATTTTCAAAAAAGATTTTTCAGTCAGACGTACTCTATCATACGTGAAAAAGGCAGAATGTAGGTATAGGAGTGTGAGTTTATAGAAGAGAAACATTCATCTAAATGGGGGTATATCGATGCTAATGTGAATAGATTTTTGGAATCTTGCTCTTCCTATTCATGATCATCATCCAATATGGTTTCCGTTTCAAGTATTTGAGGTATACTTTCCATAGAGATTAAATACAATGTGCTCTTTATCAGACCTGGTTGAAGATAGTGAATTACAGAACAATTTGTGTGATGTTAGGTTTAATAATTGTAACACATTTTTATTATTGTGATATGTGAACTATGTTAAAATAGAAATGTGCTTACTATTTGTCCACTTTGTGAAAATGATCAATTACTGATCAGTTATTAGTCAGATAAAAGTATTATTTTATGACGTGTATACAAAGTTTTACAGCTTGAAAGAGCTGTAACAGAAATAAATCACTAGAAAATATGTGAGAAAATGCATGAATCAAAAATAAAGATTGAAAAAGAAAACGAATGTACCTGAGCATGCTAGAAAAGAAGATAATTATATGAGTATTCAAACATGATATCAGAACGAAAAAAGATAGGGATGAAATATGCATACTACTTATATTCCTTTACCGGTAGCATTAAGTGAGAAAATATAGAGATATGTACCGTTGAGAAGAAATATTTACTTTCGTAATTTTCTATGAGAATTGAGTTCTATTTTCTCTTATTCTTTCGTATTTCTATTATATTCAAGAATATATCGATGAGATAGAGAAAAAGAAATCAAGGATAAGCTGCTGTTTTCATTTAGTGACGTGAAAGAGTACCATCAAAAACAAAAGAAGAAGTGATTCTAGAGAATTGAATAAGATAAAGTTGATCTTTCAGCAATAAGTAACAATGCGTAACAACAATTTGTAGAAACCAGCTCGTGAAATTGTTGTTTTATTGACATATGAAAAAACTAAGAGAAAACGCGATAAACTTCGTCTTAGAGAAACTTACTATCTGCGTTCCTCTAGAACAGAGCGGCAATGTGATGATGCTTTCTGGAATCGTTTTCTAATCTATAATTCCTTTCAATAAGTGAAATAGGAAGGCTCGAGTTAGAGACAAAGTATCAAATCTACTGATGATAATCACCTTAGTTGATTAGCGTTCGTCAAAGGATATTTGAAATGGAAAAGGGAAGCAGTCGTAATGCTTATAATTCTGTTCTCGCCAGATAGTTTGAGTTTTTTTAACCCAGAGTCACAATACAGATGAAACAGAACCGAATAAACTGTGGATTTTTATCGTATTGAATACGAAGAATACAAAG